TTAAATCTTCTTTGTTAAGTTTTACAAAAACACTCTAAAGACTTTGACAAAATACAGTAACAAGGGACATTACACAAGTATTCACTGTTATTAGTCTCTCTAGTTAGTTGGTCTTGCTAAAGAAGTCAAACCAACGTAACACTATATACTAACTGAAAAAAATAATTTCAACCTTTTTAGATTATATTGAGTAAATATAAATAAACAGAAACTAATATATACATACAAAAAATGAGTGTACAAACTATACAAAATATGTGATATGATGTGAGAAAACTAATAACTATTCAAGTAATTCAGATGTTTATAGTGATAATATATCTGAAAGTAAATCAGAGAATTGTAGTAACTATAGTTCTGATTATAAATCAGATAGTGAAACTAATACTATTAAGATTCTAGTACCCAAACTCTCTAAAGTAGAAGAACAAATATCTAATATAATATATTCTACAGAGCAAGTAAGTTCTATATATTCTAAAAGGTAAGAAAGTTCAATAATAAATTTATACAAATAGATCTACTAAATAGAATTCATGAAATTGCTTCTTTATCTGCTAGAGATATATCATATAATAAAGATTCATTAGAAGATATATATCTGTAAGATTATCTCTTATCTAATTACAGAGTAAAAGAAGGGATCAGTCTACTTGATATATATAAAAGAGAGGAGTTAGTAGATAAATTAGTTATCTAAATAGAACAAGATGAGTATAAAAAGTTTTCTGTTATAGATAATATTTCTGAAGTATATAGTTTATCTAAAATTCACAAATATATTTATAGTCAAGAACTATTAAAATCAGTAATTGATATTAATACTCTATTAGGAGATATAGAAGCTAAAAAAGCAAAAGCAAGAGACCTTTTTATTTATATTTGTTGTTTATTTATAAAAGCATTATACTGAATTCTTGATTGTAATTAAGAAGAGATTTTTAAGAGATTAATAATTGCTATATTATCTAATGATAATAAATATAGTTATCACTTTCTATATGCTCTAACTCTTCATATTAATTATCTGAAACTCAAAGAATTTACAGAATTAGTATATAAATTAATAGAAGAAGAATATAGAAAATTTATTGATAAAGGGTTATCTAGTTAAAATTTCTGTTTCTGTTTAATGAGTTCTGCAAACAAAATTATGTAAAGTATATTCTTCAATATTCACTAAACAATAGGTGAAATGATCTTAATGACATTAAAGTTCAACTATTTGCTAGTTCAAGATATAAAGTAAGGCTCTGTATACTTAGTATAAAAATAAATCAGAAAAAAAATTTGTAGATCAAGATATATTAAAAAATATATAAATCTAGTTTTGTAGAAGTATCTTAATTATCTTAATAGTTAGAATATTAAAGAAAAAAGTTTCTAATATTTCATATATTTTAGCTAAAAAGTATTTTTAGAATATTTAATATATAATCACATATATAATAAAGATCAGAAGTAGTATGGTCATATATGTGATAATAGTTTATTCATAGTAAAATGCTTCTAGTAAAATAGAGACAAGTCTAAGGAAATTTTTAATAACTCATCTATCACAAAAAAAATCTAACAGAAAAATATACTAAAAATAAAATATAAAAATATAGGGTCAAGAAAGAAAGAAAAGAAAAAGAAGAGAGTATTTTGGTGAAGAGAATATTTAGAGAAAGGGAGAAAGAGATTTTAGAATTGAAACAGAGAGTAGGAGATTTGGAAGAAAGAGAAAAATAGAAAGTTGAAGAAGGAAGATTTAAGAAAGGAAAAGAGAAGGAGAAAGAAGTTTTATCAGAACAAGCAAGAGATTATAAGAAGATGTGGGAGGAGACAGTGAAAGAAAAGTTGAGATATAAAGAAGTTATAGAAGAAAAAGGAATAAGAGAAGTTTTTTCGATAATGGAAGAGTATAAAAAGAAGCTTGAGAAGAAAGAAAGATAGTTAGAGTACGTCGATGTGAAGTTTAAAGGAAGTAAAGAGTTTTATGAGGAAGAGATAAAGATGTTGCAAGAAGGTAATAGTAAGTTGGAGAGAGAATTTAAGAAGTTTAAAGAAGTTGCGAACAAAGAATTAGAAAATTATAGAGAGTTTTTAACTAAGTATGATGTTGGAGATGTTTTTATGAAGATGGTTGAGTATAAGGAGAAGTTGGAGAAAAAAGAAGATAAATATAATCAGATATATAAATGTTATAATAATATAATTGTGTTTAGACAAAAAAAGCTGTTCACAAAAAAAAAAACTCTCTCCGTA